TCACATTCCACAAGCTAAGTCCTCTGGGGTTCAGGTCATTACAACTGGAAAACCAGAGGAAGCACTACTAATTCTGTTACAGTGGCTTCACACACACACACACACACACACACACACACACACACATAGACACACACACACACACACACACACACACACACACACACACACACACACACACACACACACACACACACACACACACAGACAGACTCAGATTCACGCAGGAAGGATGTTTCTTTTGCACACTGGCAACACATACTGTACTTGTGCACATACACACACACACAGACACACTGAAAGGGCAGTTCCGCTTCAGGGGCGTCTAATTGCAGGCTTGTGTCTCCCCAGGATGTGATGTCCTGGGGACCCAGGGTCATTTCTCTACAGGCTTCTGAGGGGGCACCACACTGTCAGGACCAATCACCTATAAGAGCAATGCTGCTGCTTAAGTACATCTACATACACATGTATATACATAGAACACATATGTGCACATGTACTGTATGGTAGAGTACTTGTACACACACACACACACACACACACACACACACACACACACACACACACACACACACACACACACACACACACACACACACACACACACACATAAAAGTAATCCCCCATACTTAAATACACACGTACATTCAAAGCCACGTACAGATGCACTAACAAGGGATTAAGTAATGGTGGAAAAATCTACAGAACCTATTGTGGTAATTAAACTGGTCATGTTGTCATGGGAATGTCAGAAAAGGTCAGGAGGGATCACACTTGTTTTCCACATAAGAGTGAAGTTTAGGTTTGCCCCTCTGCGTCCTGTGAATGTATCTTTCCTAATTCAGGCCTCTCTACAGCTTTTTGCTAAATCATTTTACTTTTTTAATACCTTCTTCTGTTTTCCTCCATCAGTTTCCCTCTGATGTCTCCTACCTTGCCTGTGTAAATAATAATGCTGTATAACAAAATGTGAACATGTTCAAGCATGTTATGAGCACAGAAGAGGAGCCCATTTGTCAAAACTCTATCTGAACTTATACTGCTGTTAAAAAGGTTCTCAAAGTATATAAAAATATTGTGAAGTACAAATCAGATTCCATGTAATGACTGGAAGGCATAAGACACCTTTTCTAATTAAGAGTGTTTGGTTTTAGACTGGGTAAAGATAGATCCTGTGTTTCATTAGAATTAGACAACAATGGCTGATAAATGAGTATAAATACAGCTGCACACGATTAAACAGTGTTGCGTGAAGACGCAGAAGAATTAGCTGTGGTTTAGTTTTTCCTTTCTTCATTTTATAATTAAAGGTCTAGACGATACCTCGAGTTTCACGATCCGCAAAATTGTAACACTAACAACATTTCATAAAAATATGCTGTTTCAACGCCATCTTGTTTTCAAATCAGTGGAGCACAAATAGTTTGATGAGTTTTTATTGGTTTTATTTTCTGTAGCAGGAGAATGTTTGCATTTGTATTGTTTTTAGCCTTCAGACAGACTGCATAAGACTATAACAAATTATGGGAAAATAAGCTGAAATGAGAGTTCTATATTTGGTCACTGCTTTGTAAATTGACTGTGACTAAGTATCAGCATCATTGATTAACATACACCAGAATGACTGCTATTAATTTCTAAATTAGCTGCTGCAGCACGAGACACAGCTCACACACAAGCACGAAAAACACAACTGAAATAATATTTCTGTCAAGTGTTAGTCATCAGTATTGTTTCACTCAGAGGACCACCCTGTGTGGAGTAGACATATAAATTAACTGAGAGAAAATTAAGATATTTTATATTACATATTAGATTCAATTGAATTGGCAAACGTGCTTAAGTATTATATAATCTGAAGATTAAAAGTATGTGAAAATGTACTAATTCAGACAGTTTACATGAGAAAATAAAGTATCAAGACATGTGATCGACTCAAGAGCAGGTGAGGCATGATCTGGAAAACAGACGCTGGCAGTGCTTTCAATAGTTATTTGACGTGTAGCTACCCTTTATTCACCCTTGGTACGTGGTTATATAGTTGATTTAGTAAAGTCCTTAAACTTTATGTGTTTGTTTGCACTTATACCTTGACTGGTAGTTAAGGATGCTGTGCATAGCAAATACTAAAGATCACTTTGCATTTGCAATTTTCACTCACTCTCTGATCACTGAAGATATATTAACTTGATGTTCACTATGATTGATTGCACAAATAAAGCAAAATTTAGAGTTGAAATCTAAAACCTACATTCATCAATCAAAAAGTGTTATTTTTTTTCTATTTAAAATTCAAAATGCACAAACATATTAGCATCAAAATATACTAAAAGTACGAAAAGTAAAAGTACCCACTGTGCGGAATGCCCCATTTCAGAATATATATTATACACCAGTGTGCAGGATTCAGTGTATCTAGTAGCAGATTGCAACCATTTGAATACAGCCTTCTAAGCATGGAGGACGAACTACTGTAGCCTCAAAACTTGCCAAAATGCGAAAGTCACTTTCTAGAGCTAAGATTTGGTTTGTCCTTTCTGGGCTACTGTAGAAATATGGTGGTTTAACATGGCGGCCTCCATAGAAAAGGACCCACTCCCTCTTTAACTAAAAAGGTCTCACTATAAGTGACTCAGTAAGTGACAATAGTGATTCAGCGGAATCAGTTCACTATAAAAATTAATTGATAAAGATTTGTTTGTGCTTGTACTAAACAATTCTCCAACACAGTCCAGTACAGTGACAGTCTCTTTGAACTGATGTACTCAATATAGTAGAAAAACGTACCTTTATTGATACCTACTAAAATATAATAAGATGTTTAGGCATTATTCAGTTAAGACTACACTGACCAGCAGGTAATGCACAAGGTAAGAGAACAGTGACACATCTATGTTTGTCATCTGCCCACACTAAGCAGCAGGTGTGCAACAAATTTAGACAGGTGAGGCGAGACCGTGACTCTTGTTATGTTCTCTCAGTAACACGCGCACACACACACACACACACACACACACACACACACACACAATAAAAGTACATGTACATGTTAGTAGGCATTCAACTTATACAACAATGACACATCATCTAACCCACACACACTCAGTCAGATGCAGAAAGCCACACGCACAGTTTCTATCTTTAGCTGTATAAATAGGCGTGTAATTAATGTTTAGATGTTGGAGTCATGAGGTGGAAACATGAACATTTAAACTGCTATTAAGTTCTCATCAGGAGCTGAGAGACATAGCGAGGGAAGAGAAGAATGGAAAGGAGGGAGGCATGGAAAGAAAAGGAAAGAGAGCAAGACCAGTAAAGCATGAGAGATGGATGATACCAGACTGAGTTCATTATGGACTGTCAGCTCATAGAAATCAGAAAAAAATTTAAATATGTAAATTTGAAAGAGGAGCCCAGAAAGCAGCTGAGAATACTGTGCTTAAATTAAATTAGAGTAGGTTTTCACCTACAAAAACTGAAATATGAATAGGGAGGCATGGAGGGGAATGATACTGTAAGTATACAAACACCTCCTTCTACACACATCAATCCTGCCTCTACACCTTCAGGGCCTTAATTGGTCTGTGAACAGCAGGCTGTGATTCATCCATTTGATTGTTTCAATCATCAACAACAACAACACACACACACACACACACACACACACACACACACACACACACACACACACAGACATACATTACAGTCTTTAACTCAGTAAGTTGTCAACTTTTGTTTCAGTCAGAGGGTCTCACACAGCTTCCACTTGTTGGCGAGGAAACTTACTCAGTTTCTATTTAACTTTACATAACATGATGCTTATTTCTGCACATTCACCTCGGTGGACTAACACACTTGTCATTCAACCTGTCCCCTCTCACCTCCCTTCCTGTCTCCTCTGTAGAAACCGATCCACAAGAGAAACAAAAGTGTGTGTATGACACTAATAAATAAGCACTGAGTGGTTGACTGATTGAATAATTGGCTGTTTTTCTCTCAATCGTGTTTACGCCTCTTTCAAACACACCCACACAGTCATGAAAGTGCTTCTTCTTTTCTCTGTCTGTCTTTTGCCTGTTCTTCTGATTCTGATCTTTCCAGAAAAACACATAAAATAAGAAGTCTGGATTGAAATTGTGACCATGGCAATATAGGTCAATATCCTCGAGCAAATAAGATGTGTGTGATTGCAGGGAATGGCTGCGATAATAAACCAGCTTTGTGTTCACTCAGTGAGTTTACAGTACCTATACTGGTTAAACATTTAGAGAACATTTCCATTGCATAAGTCCCATGCTACTGTATAATCACACTGGACTAACCGTGGATTGTTTTGTTTTCCAGTGGAAAGCACAAGGAAACAACCATCCCGCCCAGCACACATCAAATACTACATATTTAAGGTCCTAACCATTATGATGGTGTACCAATAGAGATCTACAGTCCATACAAAATGTAATAAAGAAAACTAACTGTAGCTGTGCAGATGATCTTGAAAAGGTTAAAGGAAAAGTTCAAATCTTCAGCTTATATCCATCCATCCATATCAGACATCTTCCAAACAGTGGCTTTGGTCTTTAGGACAGAGGTTCCCATTGGAGGTTGAGACCCTTCAGAAGGTTAATTGAAGGGTTGCGACACTTGTAATGGTTCTGCTATACAAACATTTGTATTTTTTGTGCAAAAAGTTGTATAGTTTTACCTCTCCTGACCGCCAACAATTATACAGATGAAACAATTTGATGAGTTTTAAAAGTAAAATTACTCTTTGGAGGAGCTGTTCACACTTCATGCAACACATTCAACTTGTAACTCATTGTCACAAACCATAAAAGGTTGGGAAGCACTGTTTTAGTGTCCAGTACAGTTCTCTGGTCTCTGGACCACCCCCCTGTGTCTCGCACCTCCACCCCCTCCCATCCTTTCTCCACCCCTCTCCTCCTCCTCCTCCTTCCTCCCGCTGTTATCCCACCGCTCCACCCGTGCGCTCAAAAGCGGGAGCGCAGACGGAGCTGAGTGGATGCTTTGAAGCTGAGAGAGGAGGAGGACAAAGAGAGAACAACCAGAGAAAGCTCTTTGCAGTGACATGCGGATGCAATAAAACTACCAAGTTGAAGCGCAGCATCGGTGTCCGACCAGCGGTAAAAGTAGAGGAGAGGAGCAGAAGAAACACGGAGCGCCTGTTCGTCGCCCCGCTTCAGCACCGCAGGGAGGAGACACGCAGAGGAGGAAAGATTCCCCTTAACGCAGTGAGAGCGTCGGATGAGGAGAAGAGGAGAGCGGAGGGCATCGGATAGGCAACAAGGAGTAAGTACACAGAGAGAGAACTGAAACTTATTCATAATCTGGTGACAAATGTGAGCAAGTTTCAGAATACCACTGCTCACTTTTAAACTGTCTGTACTGTTAACAAACACACGTTTTTCAATGAGAGTTTTAATGTAACATTAAAAAATGCATATGTGGTAAAATAAATAATATCATGCAAGCTAATTAAAGATGCTCCATAAGTCTTCCTACTCAGTGAGAGAGGAGAGGTGAAGGTGTGTGTGTGTGTGTGTGTGTGTGTGTGTGTGTGTGTGAGAGAGAGAGAGAGATTATCTGTGACTCCAGCAGCTCTGCTTCCTGCACAGCCACACTCACTGCATGTTTGTTTGACTCCATTAAATATTTATTTCAACAGACAACCAACCAAAATGTTTCTCAAAAGCAACTAAACATCTGGAGTTTCAGCTATTCAGTTATTCAATTATTCTGATATTTCATATGAAAAATCTGTCTAAAGCTTAGCATCCTTCATAACTTTGACATTTATAAAAGTAGTGACTGAGATGTTTGTTGTGAAAAAGAGTGTGAACATGAAGTGCTTCTAAGGTAACCCTGATAAAAGTCCATTCACCAGCACGTACTGGGAATGTTTTGGTCCAACCTTTATGTGGAAGGTAATCAACTTGAGTGCTTTTGACCTTTTTTCATTACCGTTCTAATAACATTTTGTGCATTCAGTATAAAGACTGAATCTAAAGAAAAATGCATAAATCAATGCTTGTGAAAGGTATCTCAGTTTGTGAAAATCATATTGTGTCAGGAATGTGGACTACAATACAGATGTTCATTTGGGGGTAATATATTGTGCAGTGTAGTTTGTTTCATGGTTTAAAAAGAAACCACAAGTATCAGATATAATTTGATTGTTATCCTGCCTGTTGATATAATGTTAGTTTGGGGGTTTGCAGCAAAAAAAAAAAAGGAGATGATGTCCTCTCTGCCCAAATGAAGCATCACTTTTCATAATTTTTCTTTATTTTTGTCAAAATTCCTCCTTTCTTTCCTTCTATCTGAGCGATCCTGAACACGCTCTGCCTCCAGTCCACCCCCCTCCTCTCTGCTGCTCTTTTCTCTCTCCCCCTCCATTCATTCCCCTCTCTAGACATCTCATATACACACACACTCATGCACACACTCACACATGAACACACACGTTCATACCCGGGCTGTGCAATAGGCAGGGCCACCAGAGTGGCAAAGGCCCCCCCCCCTTTAATCAGATTAGCCATCTATAGTGACCCCCCCCCCCCCCAGCAGACTCAAATGAAATAGCACGAGAGAAGTTGGCTTGTCATCATTGTTTAATAAAAAGTAGCTCAATTTGTAATTGTTGTTTTATAACTGTTATTGGCCTGATTGCTTATATTTCATTAGAAGACGCAGGATATCTGCAAACCTTCTGATTGTTCTGGAGCATCTGACACTGTCCGCCACAGTCGGGCATAACACTGTACGAACAGGGACGTTACATTTTTCCTTATTTCCAAATTACTGTGATGGTATCTGACAGTGTTTGGCCTTTACATTAATGTGATATCTGTAATTTTCTTATTATGTCTGCCAGTCAAGTATCACTCAAGTAGTATTCACCTTCTCTCTTCTCTCCATACTTACAGTCATTTTAATCTGATTTCAATTAAAACACAACACATTCAGTACATAAATGTAGTGAAGATGATCAACCCAACCTGGTTTACAGAAGCTGAAGATCAAACAGAAATAACAACACACCTAAATTATCTGCTTAAAATGTATAAACGCAGTTCATTCACAAACTAAAGACTTCAGATTTACATTAAAGATGCATCCAACTCTCATGCCCCTCTTTCTCTTCCCTCTTGCTTTCAGCATACCTTTTATTCTCAACTACTTGTTTCAGTGTTAGCATTTAAAGGCCATTTAAAGACCTCATTGGTGATTTATTTATAAGGACTTCTAAAATTAACCACTAAATGTGTTTGACCAGAGCAAGAGAGGAAAGACAGGAGGGGGGAAAGTGTGGAGGGAAAAAAAGAACTCAATGCCATTTTCTTATTTCCTTTGACAGTGGCAGCACCAGACTTATTGGACCCTAAATCCGCCACTCACAACACCAAGCCCCGCCTCTCCTTCTCCACAAAGCCAATCACACTGACTCCCCGGGAGGAAAGTGAGGTGAGAAAAGTCAAGATATTAAAAGTAATTCTTTATTTATTCTTTCACAATGTGGTTACTCCATAGTGAGGAAAAAACTCAGCTAACATGTTGTTTTGGCTTTATTGTAAGTAATTTGTAGGAGACCTCCTGTAGGTATGTGGGTTGATTGATCAGTTGAAGTGTTGTAGGTGGTTGCCACAGTGATGAAATGGAAGACGGTGTCAGCCATCTTTCTTTTGGTGGTTCTGTACCTGGTGATGGGAGCAGCAGTCTTCAGATCCCTGGAGCAGCCTCACGAGAGGTAGGCAGGTTATATATTTCAACCTGTCTGTCTGTCTATCCACCCTCTTGTTCACCCATCTATTCACCCATCATACCACTGTTATTGATATTCTATTCTATTCTATCTATTAGCTGTAAATTGCTCGCTACTTTTAGGCATTTCTTGCTGGTATTAAGCCTCTTTTAAAAGGTGCCATATGGATGCATTGAAAGGTTGTTAACCTTTTAAATGTAAATAGTTTTTTAATGGCACTATTCTACCTCTAAAACTCTGATGTTTGTCTGAATAAGAATAGTAATTCTTCATTGACTGTGTTAGGTCAAGATGTATCTAAAAGGCAGTGGCTCTGCACCTGGTTAAAATTAATTTGAGTGGATCACCATAATGTGTCCCACAGGATTCAATAATTGGGCCTCTATAATTCAGTCTCTATGCTTTAGGCAGGAACACAGACTGCATCCAGTTTTACTTAACTCTTTCATCAAATGACTCTGGGGCTGTCGAGTTTCCCACAGTTAAATAAAGATTGAAATTAAGTAATTCCACCATAGAGGAAAAACCTGGTATTGAACTCTACTAGACAACTGCAGTATAGAAGTATGAGCATTAGTGTTATTCTGAAATCTTTACACTAGCTTCAGTTTAACTCTCAAAAGTCTGGTCATTTTCACACAGAATCAGGACTTTTTAATTTAGCAGACTTTACTGTACAGGCATCGATCAGCAAACTCTGCCAACCCTTTTCAAATAAGGGTTTTGAGAAGGGAGGACTCTGTAAAAGACCCAACAACAAATATTTCTCATCCTCTTTTTCTTTTTCTGCTTTCTCTCTCTTAGTGCCCAGCGTTTGGCCATCCTGTCCCAGAAGCTGGAGTTCCTGTCCAGACACTCCTGTGTCAACCAGAGCCAGCTGGAGGAGCTGGTTAAGGTGAGACTTACTACTTATAAAAAAGGATACAAGTTATGTACGCTGTACACAGTTGTATTTCAGCACAGAGGCAGTGGTTTCAGCACCTTGGACAGCTCCTACAGTTTCACTGTAGGAGTCATCTCAAGTTGTATATATTTTCATCTTTAATTCCTTAGACAGCCAAGCAGGAAAACACGTTCCTTCCTGCTCTGCTACAAGAATGGCTCAAAAGCACTTACTTAAATGTTTCATAATAGTATTATTTATAGTATTTAATTCATGTATTACATATTTGCAAGAAAGTAACACAATTAAGGTAAAATCTATTGTCACTTTTTTATACCTGTTGATCTGAAACACAAATCTCTCTCTATCTCTCTCTCCCCCCTCCAGCAAGTTGTGTCTGCGATCCGTTCAGGAGTCAACCCTGCAGGGACACTGACCAACCACAGCAGCCTGTGGGACCTGAGCTCGGCTTTCTTCTTTGCTGGGACTGTCATCACAACCATCGGTAGGACATAAACACACACACACACACACACACACACACACACACACACACACACACACACACACACACACACACACACCCACACAGACAACATCTCTGTGTTGATTCAGACCATCAGACTGATTAAAGAACAACCACCTGCTGACGTTTTTATGATGTAAATGTGTATTTGTATGATGTATTACCATCTTTAGTATGTAAGCATGTATTACGGTATAATTTCAAATAATTTAAACATCTTTTCAAGTTGTGTTGAATGTGTTATATATGCATTTAGGGGCACACTCCTAAATTAAGCTGTTATGGTCAGTTATGTAACATGACTTCCTGCTGTGAAAAGTGACAAGTGGTGGCTCACTGATTCTATATCTGCTTCCTGGATATAATCAAACTAGTACTCAGTGCCGTCTCCATGTCCATAAATCTACTGTGTGTGCAAGCATGTGTAGGTGTGTGTGTGTGTGTGTGTGTGTGTGTGTGTGTGTGTGTGTGTGTGTGTGTGTGTGTGTGGGTGTGTGTGCATGTCTGCACTACATTCTTTCACTCTTGATCTCTCTCACACTGCGCTTATTATTACCCTTCTCTTCCGTTTGCTTCTTTTGTTTTGTTGACAGTCTCTTTTTCTTCCTGTTCCCTCTCTGCAGGTTTTGGGAACATCTCTCCCCACACAGAAGGTGGAAAGATCTTCTGCATAGTCTATGCGTTGCTAGGGATACCGCTGTTTGGCTTTCTCTTGGCTGGTGTAGGAGATCAGCTCGGCACCATATTTGGCAAGGGCATCGCCAGAGTGGAGAAAATGTTTGTGGTGAGTCTTGAGTAATATACACAAAAACTCATAGAGCGGATGGACACACAAATACTGTATTTCACAGAAGAGTTTCTACAAGTTTATTGTCTGCAGGCGGCAAGTCTGCATAGGCTACCCTGAATAATTTACATCAAAGCACTCTCAACTATTTCCTCACCCACACAAGCCCTTTTAGATCATATTTACAAAGAGCGACTTCTGATTTAACTACCATTATATGCACTGATTTTACCACACGTGTCAAGGGGAGGCGATATGGTTTAAATCACGTGTATATATTTATATATATATATTTATATGTACTGTATATGTAATTTGATTTGTCACATTGATGTAAAAATATACCATTACCATAAATAATTTGGTAGACTGAGCTCCTCAGAGATGTCTTTTTCTCATTGTTTGAAGGTTTTAATGAAAAGACCTTGCAGTGTCATGGTTTTCATACATTTACTGTTTCTGAGTTGCCCAAGGGGAATTAAACCCAGATGATCGAGTTTTCAGTAACAAGGTCAGCTTGGCTTTTAACCCTTTGTGTCATTGATCTTTTGCATTTATGACGTTTTAAACAGTATTGTCTGCCGGCTGAGCTGGTTTAGAAACCATGACAAAAGACAGACATTGGCCATAAATAGTAAAAATGTACATTTTTAATACAGTTTAGAGCTCACAGTATGTATGTATATATGTATGTGTGTGTGTGTGTGTGTGTGTGTGTGTGTGTGTGTGTGTGTGTGTGTGTGTGTGTGTGTGCTATGTGTGTGTAAATGCTCCATGTGCCTGCACACTTTAGATGCAGTGCGAACAAAACCTTTGACCTGAATTTACATTTTAATGAATAATTCTCCTGCTGATTGACTGAGAGGGTTTCTATTCATAAACTGTTAATGATTGCTAGTTTTGATTTAAAAGCTAAATTTGGGTGTAAAGCTAAAGCAGGTAAAGTAGGTTGATCGACTCCACGGCTCAAACTGAGTGTATACTGTATAGTCTCTCATTATAGGGTCTTATTTAGGGTTTGAAAACTATCTGAATGTGAAGCAAGTCTCCTTGTAGTCTAAACTGTAGACAATTTTCAGTTTGTTTAATTTATTTGTCATACTGTCTGAAATCTTTGCTTTAAGGATGAGATGGGTCAGGCTGAAAATTAGGCTGTGTGACTTCAGCATTAACATTAATGAACCTGCAGACCCCAATAAGATAAACAAAGCTCACACAGTTTGTGTTTAAGTTTTGAAGTTGCTGTTGTGAATGATTTCCTTTACGATCTTGAATGAAATGAGCAGAAATCTAGATGTGTAACTTAGAATGATTTGCTCCTTCTGCTGCTCTCAGGGCACCCGAGAGACTCAGTAATGAATATTATGATTAAGGCTGAGGACAGAGGACAAAAGTTAATTGTGTAAGCGTGTGTTTGTGTGTGTTTGTTAAAGCCTTATTGCTCTGTTCCCAGCTTGTGTGAGACTGCAGCACTATCCTCAGTGAATACTGTGAATGTCTTTTCTTTCCAACAGCACCCAGGGGACCAATTTATGGAATAATGCTATTACTCCTGACAGCGTCTGGCTGTTTTACTATTTCACTTCAAAAGCAGTTTTCTTTTTTTCAGCAATGTACTGTGCAATGTATCTGTATCAGACTGAAATATCTCAACAACTATTGGATAGATTGCCATTAAATTTTGTACAGGCAGTTTGTTTTGATTTGGTGATCATCTTACTTTTCCTCTAGAGCCACATCAGTGTAACATTTGGTTTCAAGTGAAATGTCTCAAAACAATTGAATTATTCGCTATGAAATAAGTTTGATTATCCTCTAACTTCATCTAACACCATCATTAAAATTCATTTTGGTTTATTACCAAATATACCTGCAAAACTAATGACATGACCCATCAGTCTCAGCTGAACTTCGTCTTTAGTGCTACTGTTAGCATGCTAACATGCTAAAATTGGACAGTGAACATGGCAAACATTGCACCTGCAGTATGTCAGCATTGTCACTCTGATTTCTGTTTCACAAGTACTTGCAACAGATACTTTACCTGACGAAGAGCCATTTTGGACTCACTCTTTCTAAGAAAAAGCTTTTTTTTTTATTCTACAGCAATTTGAGTCCTTGTGAAAGAGAAACTGAGCACCTGGACATGAAAATATGTGTTAGTGTTTTGTACATTGATAGCTTTGTCACTGTGTGCATGTTAGTATTTAGCACAAAGCATTGCTGTGCCTAAGTACATCCTCACAGAGTCACTAGCATAACTGTAGACTCTGTAGCACCAGAATCAGTAGGCCCACAACGTTTGGCACATTGCTGTGGTTTGAACATCATTTCAGTTGTAACTATCATATTGCTCATTGTCTCTGCTTCTTCCTCTCTCTGCTGCAGCACTGGGACATCACTCAGACAAAGATCCGCGTCATCTCCACTCTGATGTTTGTGTTGTTTGGCTGCCTGCTGTTTGTGGCGCTCCCAGCAGCCATCTTTAAACACATTGAGGGTTGGTCTGCGCTGGAGTCCCTCTACTTTGTGGTCATCACACTAACCACCATAGGATTTGGAGACTTTGTGGCAGGTACATACACAAAGCCAGGGATTTAATACCAACACAGACAGACACTTTAAATCGTTCTGCCTCTGCATCATGCCTGTATATCTCATCAGGCAGATTGTTTTGGATTTTACTGGATGTATCACAGTCATTGTCTCTGTCTGCCTCTGTCTCTAGGTGGTTCAGAAATAGAGTACTTAGATTACTATAAACCAGTTGTATGGTTCTGGATTCTGGTGGGGCTAGCCTACTTTGCTGCCATCCTCAGCATGATAGGAGACTGGCTCAGAGTCATCTCTAAGAGGACGAAAGAAGAGGTACGAGACTGATGGTTTCATTTACTACTTCATTCATTTCCTATGCAACTCCTTTGTCACTTTTTTCTTTTTCTCTCTGTATACCTGTTTATCTGTTGGTGCTTCCACCTTCTGTATCTCTCTCTCTTTCCTTGACGTCACTCTTTCAGCATAGTGACACACAGGTTATTCTTGCTGTCCTGTTACAGTGCCATGTCCCCGCCTCAACTTTTGCCCTCTGCTTAACTTCATTTCAAAGATAAGACTGTTTTCTAATCCAATCGACTGTCTGCCATCCAAACACATAAACACAGTCGTAGACAATTACTGTGAGCATCTCCAGAGAGAGAGTGAAAGAGGTGATTTGCACAACCTGTGATGATGTTCTTATTAGAAAATGTATCTATAGCCCTACAGTGGTGCTCAAAATATGAGAAAATGAAAAGGAACATCTGGATGTTTTCACAAGAGCCCTTAATTGAAAAACCTTCAGATTTCCCTCCAGAATCAGTCCACTCCTTTGTTTTAGATTTCACTGGTGTTTGAGTTTTGGTTGTAGGTTAGAGTGAATAAAGATTTGGTCATCCATTTTAGCCAGTTCTTAACTAATAAATATATTCTCATATGAGAGTTTTGGGGAACAAGACTTGTATGTTTGAAAAGAACATGATGACATGACATGGCGTACCCATTAGATAAACATGATTAGTTGAATGATACTGGTTTGCAACTGCAGCTCTTAAGTGGTAATTCATGATGCAGTGTGTGTGTTTGTGTGTTCACTAATGCTCCCCATGGGTTCTCATGCTGAAGTCCTGCTGTAAACGCTATAATATTACTGACCTGTAAATGTGTGTGTGTTATTATCATCAGGCACTGTGATATAGTTAGAAGTAGAGGCAGTATTTGAGGTGTGTGAGCGCAGTGTTCTTTTTTGCCCTGAAGTGATTGATACCAGAATGGCTCTGAGGCTGCTCAAGTCCCCATTTGTTGAGCTATTAGGATAAAACTGAAGCATGATAATGTCCCATAAATATCCTGGTTAAACAAGCCAGAGGTTCACTTTTTCTTTTGACTGCTTTTTCTCTTCTGTCTGTCTCTGTGCCCGTCTGTCAGTGTTTTATTAACTTCCCCTTATTTAGATTTTGAGAGAAGTGGATTTACTTAAAGTGTATAATTTATTAATGAAAACAGAAACAACACTGGAGGACTTGGCTGTATGCATTGGTAGTAATTGGTCTGCCCTGCCATTAAGTGGCATGATACTGTGTTGTAACGTATGTTCATTATAGTTTTCTCTCACTGTGATTAAGTTCTAATGTTACTTGTACATGGAAATCTTTTTTTTTTAGTGTCAGAGGCAAAAACATTTTTGTAATCAACCTCATAGGTTCACTGTCTAATCTGCAATCTGATACGTAGATCGGTCCCTACAGACAAAGTCCTAAACAATGTTTTAGTCAATTCTTATTGACGGATTTTGTGGCCTCATGTCAGACTAAATATATCGAGAAAATTGTCTGTCTGGTGTAGCAGAGTGAAACTGTTCATATCAGATTCTGTGGTTTTCTGAAGACAGACAAATTGATCTGAAAATTAGACTCAGTGTGACAGCACAGTCAGTTCTCGGAGAATGTAACTCTATTTACTTGAGTTCATTTTTTATATTCAAATATTTCAGCTTCAGGAGCCAGATAAGAAATGTGGCAGCTAACATCATGCTCTGTTCACAGACACACAGTCACACATATTCAATTCAATTCAATTCAATTCAATTTTATTTGTATAGCGCCAATTCATAACAGAAGTTATCTCAGGACACTTTTCAAATAGAGCAGGTCTAGACCGAACTCTTTAACATTAATTACAGAGACCCAACAGTACCACCATGAGCAAGCACTTGGCGACAAGGGCAAGGAAAAACTGCCTGTTAAAAGGCAGAAACCTAGGACAGATCCTCCGGCTCTAGGTGGGTGGTCGTCTGTCTCGACCAGTTGGGGTGAGAGAGAGAGAGAGAGAGAGAGAGAGAGAGAGAGAGAGAGAGAGCGACAGACAGACAGGTGCACAGCAACAACAGTATTGGCAATGGCAGTCAAGCAGGACCATGGCAGGAGGCTCCACCAGGATCCATGAGAACCTGCGAGACGAGAAAGCACAAGAACTCCGGGGAAGAAGTGGAGTTAGTAACATGCATTAAAGGGACATGAATGAGTGCAGAAAGAGAGAGGAAGAGAGTAGCTCAGTGCACCATGGGAAATCCCCCGATAGTCTAGGCCTATAGCAGCATAACTAAGGGATGGTTCAGGACTCACCTGATCCAGCCCTAACTATAAGCTTTATCAAAGAGGAATGTCTTAAGCCTACTCTTGAAAGTGGTGAGGGTGTCTGCCTCCCGAACCACAACTGGAAGCTGGTTCCACAGGAGAGGAGCTTGGTAACTGAAGGCTCTGGCTCCTGTTCTACTTTTTAGAGACTATAGGAACCACAAGTAGCCCAGCATTCAGAGAACGTAGTGTTCTAGTGGGGTAATAGGGTACTATGAGCTCTTTAAGATATGAAGGGGCCTGACCATGAAGAGCTTTATAGGTGAGGAGGAGTATTTTAAATTCAATTCTACATTTTATAGGGAGCCAATGCAGAGAAGCTAGTACAGGAGAGATGTGATCTCTTTTTCTAGTTCCTGTCAGTACTCGTGCTGCAGCGTTCTGAATTAATTGGAGCGTTTTAATGGACTTATTGGGGCAACCTGATAATAAAGAGTTGCAGTAATCCAGCCTTGAAGTAACAAATGCATGGATTAGTTTTTCTGCATCTGTCTGTGATAGTATGTGTCTAATTTTTCTAATATTACGTAAATGAAAGAAGGCAGTCCTAGAGGTCTGCTTTATGTGGGAGTTAAATGACAAATCCTGATCAAAGATAACTCCAAGATTCCTGACAGTGGTGCTAGAGGCCAAGTTAATGCCATCTAGAGTGACTATATCTTTAGACAATGAGTCTCTAAGGTTTTTGGGGCCAAGAACAAGAATTTCGGTTTTTTCTGAGTTTAACATCAGAAAATTGCAGGTCATCCAGGATTTTATGTCCTTAAGACATGTTTGTAATTTAGATAATTGATTAATTTCATTGGGTTTGATTGATAGATATAACTGCGTATCATCTGCATAACAGTGAAAGTTAATGGAGTGATTCCTAATAATGTTGCCTAAAGGGAGCATATATAAAGTAAATAGTATTGGTCCAAGTACAGAACCTTGTGGAACTCCATGACTAACTTTAGTATTTATGGAGGATTCATCGTTAACATGTACAAACTGAGAACGATCTGATAAGTATGACTTAAACCAGGTTAGGGCAGTTCCTTTAATGCCAATTTGATGCTCAAGTCTCTGTAAAAGAATATCATGGTCAATGGTGTCAAATGCAGCACTAAGATCTAATAATACAAGTACAGAGACAAGTCCATTGTCAGAAGCAGTCAGAAGGTCATTATTAACTTTAACCAGAGCTGTCTCTGTGCTATGATGAGCTCTAAATCCTGACTGAAAATCCTCAAATAAACTATTGTTATGTAGAAAGTCACACAACTCTTTGGCGACTACTTTCTCCAGAATCTTAGAGAGGAACGGGAGGTTAGAAATCGGTCTATAGTTGGCTAAAACCCCTGGGTCAAGAGTGGACTTTTTAAGAAGGGGTTTAATTACAGCTACTTTAAAGGACTGTGGTACATATCCTGATAATAAAGAAAGATTAATCATATCCAGTAAAGAAGTGCCAATTAAGGGAACAACTTCTTTAAGCAGCCTAGTTGGGATCGGGTCTAATAGACAGGTTGATGGCTTCGATGAAGAAATGATTGAAGTTAACTGATGAAGATCGATAGCAGAAAAACAGTCTAAATATACATCTAAGTTTACATTGACAGAAGTCCCTGAACTTGGAGAGCCACTGATAACTGTTGATGGCAGTTGGTGATTAATTTTTTCTCTAATAGTAATAATTTTATTATAGAATTATCATATTCCTCGCTATTGTTTTTATTTTAAAGTGTACTCAGCTGTGTGTGTGTGTGTGTGTGTGTGTGTGTGTGTGTGTGTGTGTGTGTGTGTGTGTGTGTGTGTGTGTGTGTGTGTGTGTGTGTGCATAGCCGATGAATACCGTGTACAGTCCTACGTAGATGCAGATACGTTGATGTAATTCAGTTGACTTCCTGGTCAGTGACCTCTTTACTCTACTTTTCAGTCTTTCTCTCTCACTCTGTATTTTCTCTTTTAAAGGCTAAACACAAAACCCTATGTCCTGCAAATACTGACTGCCTCTAAAAGAAGTTATACAGATCATTAAAGAAGAAAGATGCATAACATGGAGTTATACAAAAAAAGAAGAAAGGCATAAAGTGATTTGGTCATTGACTGGCAACTCTTGGATGTCAGATTGTCCTTGAATGCACCAAGTTTTCAGAGCTGTCACAGTTTGAATGGGAGTGCATTGACACATGGAGATAATATATAGTAACTTTGTCAAAGTTACTAGTTATTTCTAAATGCTGTTCCTCATGTTCTCTTCTACTCTGTTTGTCCTCTTCTTTATTTCTCTCTATTTTATTTCATTCTATATTTAAGCCATATAACTGACACTGTCATCAAAACAGGAAACAGTGCATGCTGGACGCCCATGTGTATCCCTTTTGTATATCTACTTACTTCACCCTGTCTCTCTCCCTGCAGGTGGGAGAGATCCGAGCTCATGCTGCAGAGTGGACTGCTAACGTCTCAGCAGAGTTCAAAGAAACTCGGCGACGTGTGAGCGTTGAGATCTACGATAAGTTCCAGCGCGCCGCCTCAATTAAACGCAAACTGTCCTCAGAGCTGGGATTCAACCCCACCCCTGAGCTCACTGTGCCCAAGAGGAACGTGGCGGTCAATTTCAACGATGAACGGGATAAGAACGAGAGGGAGGCCGGGCTGCAGGGCCTCATGACACCTCTGACTAGAAACGGAGGTTTGTTCATGAACGGTTTGGACCCAGAGAGAGGAGATATCTTAGTCATCGAACACCTCAAGTAGAGAGAGGACAGTCAACACCTTCTTAAGATTTTTCTGAGGTCATTCGTCCTCATTGGTGGCACTAGTGCTGAAAGCAGAGATGCTTGAACAAAGTAATAATCAGAATATGGTACTTTTGTGACCCCAGCAGGGACATCTTCACCCCTCTACAGAGACGTAAGCCTAAAGAACACATGACAGAGAATTTTGACACTTTTCTCTCACTTCAACACCCTCATACCGCCAGTGAAACAAAGAGCAAGAAGAACATACAAAACATGAGTTGATCTTGTGTAAAATTGCATTTCTTTATTTTCTTCCCACCATTCAAACATGCTTTACATAAGAGTTGTGAATCTGTTGTCTTTAAACTGTAGGGTGTGTAACTTCTGATCAGAGCTGATTATTCAAAGATTTCGACCACTGTGGTTTCCAGTGGCCGCCATGTGAGTCCTTTTCTCTTCTCTTTAGATCTCTTTATAATGTTGTCATCTCACAGAAGACATCAATGGACGATCTTTGCCACCAACTCTTCTTTGTTTTAGAGAAGAGGAAGAAGGTGGATGCAGTTCGAAGTGGTCAAAGTGTGTCTCTCTGACTCTGGATGTAGAAAGATTTGCCAAACCATTGCTGTGCCTTAAACTCTTTACTTTGCCAAACCAAGGCCAAGCACAACACACTGTCAGGTGGACCACTGAGTTAACAAGTGTTTATACTTATTTACGTGTTATCACTAACAATTTAGTTTATTTCAACTGAGGAAAAAAGTGTTTTTATATACCCAATGCTGTTGGTTTACATCATGGACAGTATATATATAAGGTTTACATCCAGTCAAACGAAACTGAATCAGTTGTTAACACTCATAATGTTTTGCTGGCCTGGATCCACATGTTCATCCAATACTTTGTGCTTTCTATAATAATGTAATGCTCAGTGGATGACGTAGATTGTTACAGACTTGACTGTTTGACTTGTTTTAGTGGCTGGAAGCAGAGAATGTTTCTGTAGCAGTCACATATGAATGATACAGCGCCCCTTTGAGCCATTGAAATGTTCATTTATGTGAACTGCATTTCACTGAACAGGATTCACAGATTTGCACACTGACAGGTCCTGAAAATGTCAATGTTACAGTACAAGAATAAATTCAGTTTTAATGCCCAGCTTTCACACACGCACACGTACACACAAAGGGGGTTTTCTTCCATGTGTGTAAGCCTGCCGTTGAAAATGCACTTTGATTTAACAGCCTTTGAACGTAACAACATGCTATAGCTTCCGCAGCGAACCAGTCCATCCAATCAGAAGGCTTCGATTGTGTTGCTATGTGGCATTGATGACAACTACGCGGTTTAACACACAAACCTTTCTCTTTAAGCAAGAATGTAACCCTTAGATTATTACCCACATACATGAGGAGTGTATGTATGTGTACAGGACCAATTTATATACATGTATCTGACGGCTAGATTAGGTTGACACCAATCTAGTGAATGTAACGACAAAGAAAACTTAGTCTGTGGTGCAGCTTGTACTTTTGTACCAATGATATACTGAGACCAGCAGGTGAAAATCCTCATAAGAATCAGAAAACTTGTTATATTAATCGAGTACATTTCCAATTATTTTATCTTTTTTCAGTCCTAATTGACTTGTATCTGTGAGAAATGATTCTTTTAATTCTAAAGGATGTCCTAACAAGTCTTTAAGAAGCCCCATTGGACATCCAGATTGACTGTTAGAAAGATGGGATACAGATGTTTTGACTTTAACTATAGCAGTCTGTATGGTTCAGTACTAACACTGGATGGAAACAGTAGTGGTATTACACTGTGTAGTGGCTGGTTGGTCTGGCTTTGCCGTCTCTCTTTGCTATTCAGTTTGTTAGCAAACAGATGACATTGTTACATGATCATCTTATTTAGCTGAGCTAAAATGAAACTAACTCTTCATTTTCCGCTAATGTGCTAGATATATTAATGCTTTTTATGATGATGATCATGGAAACTGTATTTTTCTAAACTGTATGTTTGTAGAGTGTTTCTACACTGATGTGATTTTGGGAGAACGCATTATAATAATAATGTCTGTAGAGCTTATCCAAACACAATGTAACAGAGATTTTTTTAACAATATATGACTTGAAAATATACCAGATTTCAATTCTTTCTCTGTTTGCTGTGTTATTTTAAAGTGCTCAATGTTCGCTGTTGGTTCTGTTCATCCAGAAGAAGAATAAGTGTCAAATGAGTCATTTTTGTACAGCCATCCTCACAAAAGAAGCTTCTAATCTCGTCCATCTCCACAAAACACATTTTTTAAACTCCATAGATGCTGAATTACATCATAGTAGCAGTGAAATAAAACACTGCTCAAATACTGCAGCATGTACAGTTGTGAGGGTTTACTTGATGTGTAAGTGCTGGATTTAATGATAGCATTCAAGAAATTTAGACAGTAACATACAATAACACTGATGGGTAAGATCAGAGGTTATACCTGTAACCACATGGGGTGGCACCTGAATTTTAGTTCTTGTTAAGAGCAGATGTGAATTTGGCAATCAAATACCAAGTCGACATAATGTGCTGGATCTCTACCCATCTTTATTGCTTGAGTCACTGGCTGCACCTTCCAGATGACTGAGGAGAGACAGTCTCTCCTCCCTTTTTATTGTATAACATTTCACATTGAACACAACTGTAACCAATTGACCGGAAACACATGATTTACCGGAAGTTCTTATTCGAGCTATCTTTATCTACTCATTACATTCTCTTTATCATAAGACACAATGTTCTTCTCCTGACCTTTCTATGACAAATAATCTCATATGACAGTCTAATGATATTCCTTTGTGTTACAACGAACTACTTGAATTCAATTACCAAAAAACTTAAACAATTACTTATACACAACATACACGAGGCATTTGTATTAATAATACAGAAAGCATTTGAGCAACAGCAGAATCATTGGAACAGAAAACATCTGAGACCCCTTGTCTTCTCTCAGTAGAGACGGAGGACTTTCTCCTAGCTTTTGTTGCTGAAAAAAACCTGAATGGCAGAACCAATCCAAAGTCTTAAGGGCGGTGACATGCAGAAGTTATGTGCTTGCAAACACAAACATTGCTGTTACAATACATCATCATCTGTACCATAATGATACTTGGGACATCCATTTTCAATTTAATTTTAGATTCAGTGTAATTTACACTATATCCTTATTCCCAGTGTCCATTGCATAGAAATGCAATAAAGACCAATAAAGAGACGTCAATAAATCCACTTAGAAATCAGAGAAACACACATAACTCCAGATCTTCATAAAGTTTTTAAGTTTTCTTCAGTGTCAAAGCTGTTGCGTTATAGTTGCCTGTATACTCTTGTGTACATTGCAAAAAGGAACCTGAATTAGGTTTATTGCCAAGTAAGTTTTTACACTAACAAGGAACTTGTCTTGGTGCTTTGGTGCATAAAATGTAAAAATCACACAAGAATAAAGTACTTTTTAAAATATAAATAAATAAGAAGTGCTAATAGCTAATTCAGCACACTTTTAATGGTGCCAATTTGTGAAAATATAAACAAATTTAGGCTAAAAATCAACTAACTCACTGACTTATGTCAACATAATACAGTGTCAGACTTTAAATAACCCTGATTTGAGGTCAATCTGATGATTATGTAAAGAATGATAAAAACCTCTATTGAACAGCCATTCAGTATATGACATCTATGTGCTTGTTACCACACAAAGACCCCTAAAATATATTTTCTCAATCTGCTTCTTACTGTGAGTGATGAGGCCCAACATGAAGTTAGACCATCTTCATCATTCCTTTTGATGAAGGTGATGTCACTCACTTCTGAGCACAACTCAGGAGTTATCAATATTTTAATTAAATGTCAGGACAGTTGGAGGATTGTTTAGTCAAATCACACCCACACAGTCCTGATGAAGCATGTTGGCTGAGTTTCGAGTGTTAAATTATTAATAAATGATAACTAATTATGTTTTTTTAACACTTTAACTTTGCATGTTTTATATTTAGTCATTCATATTTTAAGTCATAGAGAATCATTTAATAACATTTAATCAAGTTTTCAATGGTTTTAAAATTTCCCCCAGATGTGTAATGACCGTAACTGTGTTTTATTAAATATTTGGAAGAACATTAATCAGTATCTTCTCTCACACAGTTCACAGGCAGTGATCCACTGAGTGATCATTAGTGTTTAAACTTCCTGGATGATAGAGTGGTCTGATTGTGACTGGCCAGTGGCAGCAGGTCTTATGATGCGTGAGGTAAAGTTATCAAAGCAGGAAGTACAGACCAGAATCAACAGCTCACAGTCAGACAGATACAGTACACTGGCTCATTTCACCATGATATTTCATCCATTGTAAGAGCCCATCTAGCCAGCCAAGGTTGAGAGAGAACCCACAAGACTGGTTATGGTTTAATTAAAAGTATAAATTACTTAACCCATAATTTATTGGACATAAGCCATTTGCAATTGTAAGATTTCTTCTGTTATTGTAAGATCTATAACATGGGACCATTTTTCAGCTCATACAGTTTGTGTCAGTATGTTCCCTACAGGTCCAATTACAAGATTAAGATTTTAGAAAAGGCTGACATTTGCAAATCCTCCATTTATTAAAAAAAGTCTTTATAGTTTGATATTTTACAGAAAGCTCTCAAGCAGCTTTGTGGAGCAGAGTGCTGATATTGTGTATCAAGCATTCTGTATCCTTGTTCAACAGAAGTCTTTGAAAGTAATTTCCCTGAGGGAAGTTAATGTTTCAAAACATTGTAATTACAGAACTCAGATGAACTGAAGCGTCCAGACGCTTTTATGTTGATTTAATTCTAACAGTTTCTATTTTTAGTTGTGCGATTCTTTGCTAGAAAGGTTCTGTGTGCTGTAAAAAGCCTGGGGACTCTGGTTATTAAGAATAGCTCATTCTCTGTGTGTTTAAGTGAACATTATATCTCCATCCAAGAGGAGGCAGTTAGTGCAGGGAGGCAATACAATACAGTAGCTTCAGTGTGAAGTTAAGCCAACATGGGCAGGAGATCAGGCAGGGTTCTTCCTCTATGCTCGATACTATTAATATGCATTTGTGAGAATTCTTCTTCAACCAAGCCATTTATTCATTGTTTTTTATCCTGAGATATTTTCTCTGAACCTCTTTCTAGTGGTTTCCACTATTACTGTCTCTTCTCACAGAGGACTCAGAAATATTGGCAGGTCGCCCCTGACAGCAACCAGACAAACACAACTTCAACGGGACATGTGCTTCATTTAACCTACTGCAGATACCAGTGTCGGTGTGGCTTTAAGCACGGCAACGCATCACATGCACACCTTATGAAAACCAAAAAGATCAGAAGAAACGAGACCTGCTGTGTGGTGCTGGTTTTCATATTTCTTTTTAGATTCTGTTATGTTTGCCTGTCATGAATGCCTGCCTGCTTTAAAAGGGGCACCAATTTTAATTTTGCGAGTCATGATGAGTACTGCTCAGCCTGTGAAATGGTATGAAGTTTTCCATGACTCTGGGGGAGCTTTGTGAAGCCTGAGAAAATGACTTCACGTGCACTATCTTGGTTGCATGGAGCTTGAAAGAGTTTACCAGATAGGGTTAGCATAACAAAAGACTGAGACATGTTGCAATTTGAACAATTTTGGAGCTTAAATTTAAAAGTCAGGGTATCTGTCTCTTGTAAGTCCTCGAGAATCATGGAAACACAATACTAAATTGCTTGAGTGCTTCTTTACAGACACACCTGTGCCAGGATGATAAGAATGAAGGCAGGACGTCAGCTTTAATATAAAATACTGTGCACACAATCTGAAGTTACAGACCCAGACCCAAAAAAACCCCAAAATGTTAGTAGTTGTCCTGTTGTTTTAGTGTCAATTTTCTCCCTAGCTCATACAGAACATGTTTTGGTACCACATTCTAATAGGAGACCCTTTATAAGCTTTAATTACTGGTTAATGAAGAATTTACCAATGAGTTAAAAGCCATTCATAAGAAAAACATTTAAATCTGTCAAACAGTCTACCAGGTGAAATAAACACACAAATAGGCAACCCATAACTCTTATTAATGGATAATTGTTTATCTATAAAGCCTTAGTGAATGATTTATTAAAAATTAAGCTTATTGGCGCCCAGATGGCTCAGTGGGTAGAGCTGGCGACCCATGTACCGAGTCTGAGTCCTTGCTGCAGCGGCCCAGGGTTTGGGTCCAACCTGCGGCCCTTTGCTGCGTGTCATCCCCTCTCTCTGCCCCGCTTTCCTGTCTGTCTTCAGCTGTCAACTATAATAAAGGCAATAAAAGCCCAAAAAATATACTTTAAAAAAAAAACCCAAAACAATTAAGCTTATAAGCACTTTATAAATGGTGACTCAGGTGGTGCATTGCTCCGTTAATTTACACCTCACTCACAGTAAAAAGATACATAATTGCAGAATATGTAAATTCATTTTTAAAGTCACTGAAATGCACCAGCATCGGTTCAACTCTTTGTCTCTTTCCCCTCCGTCCTGTTCATACAAAACTGGTCGATACTTCCTGTCAGTGACTCTCCTCTGGCCCTGAGAACTGCTGCTTACATAGTGTTGCCGGATGAAGAATGGGACAAATCATGCATACAGCAGGGGGATCGACGGTCAGTCAGTCTGTCGGTTAGTTTTAAAGACAGACACACACACACATGCATACACAAACACACACTCTCCAGTCTGAGTGCCAGTGATAACATAGCTCAGTGGACCCATCTCCTCATTTCCGTGTCCTCTTCCAGAGTTGGTTCTGGCACCGCAGCTTCCGCTAGCAGCTCCAGCCAGAGACATCAGAGCAGGACTGTATCCACTCTGAGGTGTGTGACTGTGTCGTCTCCTCTCTGTTCCCATAACCCAGCATGCCCGGCTGCCCCCTCACCCAGTACCCAGCAGGGAGAGAATTTATGAATATGAATCTAAACCAGGTGAATGTAAAATCTGCCACAGAAGAACAAGAGGTCAATAGGTCGGCACACATCAATACTTCTAATGCTGACATCTATACAACAGATGAGAAGATCAATGTTATTGATCCAAAGCAGACACATTGTAAAGGTTCACCCACACAAATCCCACTAATTATT